TCCCCCGCGGGCGTCCGCGCCTGCACGTGTCCTGAAAGCGCCCCCACGTCTGTGTTGCAAACCGGCGCGCACACCTGAGCTGACAGCCGAGGTCAGTGCTCCCTCAGCCGTCGCCGGGCGGGAACGGACCTGGGAGCCCTACGGAGACTCGGAGGCGGCGGAGCCCTGGCCCCCTGGGGAGCTGCGGCTTTGAACCGGTGAAGGCGCGACGGAATGGCGTCTGTGAACTGACAGCGGGGGCTCGGAGTTGTGACTGCCTGGGTCTAGGCATTCAAGGGGTCCGAACACACAGCTCAGAGGGCTCTCGCTCCTGCCTAAATACCTTCGGAAACGCGCATGTCTGTGCATAGAGTTTTCCAGAGGGACCCACACACGAAGCTCCTAGGAGGTAAGCTGCGTGCCTGGACAAAAAGAGGAGAGAATTTTCCCTTCGATAGTCTTGAACCTGTTACGTGTAGAATCTTGAATGCTGTCTCCCTCCCTCCCTCACCGCCATGGAGCCAGTGCTGACTGGGCCAGCCCCTGTGGGTTTGAGGAGTGGAAAGTAGAAAGCCCAGCCTTTGTCCCACAAAGCTGCTGACTGCGGGTGGTTGCAAACCGCAGACCACGCGAATCATAGCTAACGCGTAACCACAACACCCCCAAGGATCCTTGAATATTAGTGAGTCAAAATAAATGTAGTTTCAATTACAAGTTTAAAATTCAAAATCCTTCTCAGCTTCGGCACGAACTGCCTACCTCTTCAGCCTAGTCTCACTCCCATCACTTTCTCCTTCACTGTTCACTGGCCACACACACCAGTTTCACAGCCTCGGATTCTTCTGTGTTGTTCCAAGTTGCACTCTGACATGTCTCCATCAGACAAACCCTCCTGTCCCCTTTTTTTATTTTCCCAGCCACCTGTTTTCCTTTTCTGGGATACCAAAACTGTGCAACCATTTACAAATGTATGTGTTTGTGCATATTATTTGTTCTCTCTCTTTTTTTTTTTATCGTGCTATGCAAGAGGACAGAGACTCCACCCCTTCTATATTCCAGGCAGATGTGATCGCTTAAAGCTTAGCGAAGGAGCAATGACTGATGAATTAGAGGCAGGGTGAAGGCAGTGGCTACCCTTTCCAGGGTGTTCCTTGCCAAATTAGAGAAAATTGATTTTGTTTTGGCCAGACTGCTGCTACGTGGAATAAGGCATCCTTGAGAAGACAAATGATTTTAGGTCATAATATCTATAGAATTCTATTAGCAAGACGTGGGGTTGTTGGCTAGGAGCACTTTCAACCTTCATTCATTCAGAAGGTATGCTGTGAGCTGGATCCACGGTGTGCAAGCTAGGCCCTTTATTTCTACTGTAAATGCATAATGTATTTTCCAAAATTGTTCAAAGATAAGGGAGGTAAGATTAAGGATAACATTTTGATGCTTCTTTATACTTTTCTGCATTTACCAAATGCTGCACTATGAATATTTTTTACTTTATGTCAATTTTGTATACTAGGAGAAAAGAATAAATAGTATAAAATACAATAAAATGAAACAAAATATATACCAATTGTTGAATGTAAAACTGATTATCTGCTCTGTGCACCTTCACCCAATTCACAGTAAAGAGTTTAAATTAAAGTATGCCAATATTTTGGTTAAAAGAATTGTTTCTGTGAGATAATTTGGTTTGGGATAAATACGGCTGATTGTATACTTCATTACACACACTTTTTAATATAGCATAGTTTTATACTGACATGTATTACATTTATATTATCAGAAATAATATACCCTTATCTCACTATCTTGTTATCCAACATTTCATATTTACAACCATAGTAAAAAAAACCTACCACTCTACTATTTGTCTACTAATGATGTACAAAGGCTAAGGTGCCAGTTTAGAGTAATGTTGACTATACTGGTTAGAATTAGCTGTCAAGTTGAATGGGCTGTGATTCGGAGTGGATTGACAGTTACGTGATGATGCAATTTGGCAGTTATGTAAAAGATAATGGGGAGAAAGACTGGGCTTTTTACCCATAAAGAGTTACAGTCTCACAAGGCAATTCTACCCTGTCTTATAGGGTCACTATGAGTTGGCATCCACTCAGTGGCAGTGAAATATAATCTGGCTGCTAAGTGATGATGGAATTTGACAATTACCTAATGGGATAATTTGGCAGATATCTCAGGATATAATCATCCTCCATTTTTTATCTGATGTGGTCACCTTTAATTTTTGCATAATGCTGATTTTTTTCACACCTGGACTTTGCAACCTAACCATGTCTATAAGTGAGGAGTGAGCAGAATAAACTTCATTTTTTACAAGTGCTTAATGTTAAATGAAGTGTTTACTAAATTAGAATGCAATCTGTGATTACCTGTAAGAAGCTATAAATGGTGTTGTGAAAGTAGCTGGCTTCTCTTCAAATTATGTTGCCTCTGCAAATAAGTCTTATAAAGAAATCACATCTGTGTACCTCATGCCCAGGAAATAACATAATGTCTATCAAGACAACAACAGTCCGGCACCAATCACTGTTTTTGTGGAGTCCGGTTAAAACAGCCAGGAGGGTGGGGAGAGAAGAAAAGAAGAATAACACAGAAAGAAGTACCATCATGCGCAAAAACAACGCTAAGTCAAAGAGCTGACATTAAGTGCCAACTATATGTCAATCATTGTTAATCACTACATATAATTTAATCTCACATTGATCCTGTCTTCAGTTCAGTATTATAAACTGAAACTCAAAAAACTCTCATCTCACTTTTGGTAAGTGGCTGAGACGGAATCCTGACTTGGGTCTGTCATATTCCAGGACCCATCCTCTCCACATACCAGAAACTAATCACACCAGAGTTCATACTTAGAAGCTTTGGGAGATTAAATAGACTGGAGAGAATGTGGAGTGCAATCCAAGCTGAAAGATCTGGATTTTACCTGATGGCAACTGACACTTCCTTAAGGCATTCAAACTTGGTCAACCCTTAAAAAGAATATACAGGATTGACTAATTGACAATTCATGAAGGATAACATTTATGCACTAAAAAAGGTAATATAAACCCATAAAATTATAAATAAGTCAACTTGCTGAGATAGATAAAATGCAAATATCTGTTTCATTCAAAAATCAATAAAAAAGAGAACTGTCAACGAGAAAATTATTAGAGTAAGATAGACATTTTGAAAAGGCATAAATGCCTACCATACACAAAAATACACATGACCTGGATTTTTTTTTTAACATTTTATTAGGGGCTCATACAACTGTTGTCCCAATCCATACACACATCAATTGTGTAAAGTGCATTTGTACATCGTTTCTCAAAACATTTTCTCTCCATTTAAACCCCCAACATTAGGTCCTCATTTTTCCCCTCCCTCTCTGCTCCCCGCT